AAGAAAGAAAGAAAGAAAGAAAGAAAGAAAGAAAGAAAGAAGAAAAGAAAAGAACAAGAAAAAAACTTAAGCATTAACTGCTTCTTTCAAAAGACCAGCAGAAATTGGCAGTAAAATTATCCAAATTATCCTGTATATATACAAAAACATATATTTTCCCTTCCTTTTGTGTTTTTCCCCACCCAAGTCCTTCCTTCTTATTGAACAAATGTTTCCCCTTTTATAGTATCTTTTGTACCTTTCAGATTTTATTTACTGCTTCAGGTTCTCACAGTAGTGAGACAATATGATGTTTACATATGTGGATCTGATTTATTTCACTTACCAATACAATCTCTAATTGCATCCAATTATCTACAAATGCCTCAAATTTATCTTTTTTATACCTAAGTAATGCTCCAATGTGCAAAAATACCATAACTTTTCTATCTATTCCTCACTTGATGGGTATTTGGATTGTTTCCAAGATTTAACCAAATTGCTATTAACATGGGTGCACACATATCACTGTATATGATGATTTCAGTTCTTTTGGAAAAATATCTAGGAGGGGAATAGCTGGCTTGAATGGGACCTCCAATTCTAGCTTTTTGAGGAATCTCCATACTGATTTCCATAATGGTTGTACCAGCATGCACTCCCACTACCACTGGTGATAGGTTACTTTTTTCCCACACCCTCTCTAGCATTTGTTATTGGTTCACTTCTTGATGGCATAAGATGGTATCTCAGTGTTGTTTTAATTTGCATCTCTTGAATGACCAATGATGTTGGACACTTTTTCATATATTTATTTGCCATTTGTATCTCTTCATTTTGTGAAGTTTATATTCATCTCAGATGCCCATTTTTGAGGGGTTTTTGTGCAGGGTGTCACTATGCAGCTTGGACTCATAGTGATCCTCCTGATTTCTAACACCCTAGTTCTGGGATTATAGGCATGTGCCACAAGGCCCAGACTCCATCCAGAGCAGCACGCCTGGGGGTGGGGCAGGTGCAGCATGTGGTGCTAGGGATCGAACCCTGGGCCCTGTGCTTACCTAAGCAAGCACTTACTCTGCTGAGCTATACCACTGGCCCTTCAGATGCCCATTTTTGGATTGGATCTTTGCATTTTTGGAGGCCTGAGTTTTTAAAGTTCTTTATATGTTCTGGGTAGGAGTCCTTTGTCTGAGAGATAGTGAGCTATAATTTTTTCCCAGTTAATAGGTTTTCTTTTTACTCTCTTGGTGACTTCTTTTTTTTTTTCGTGATGTACAGAAATGTTTCAAAAAGATGAGATCCTAAGTGTTGATTCTTTTAAGTATTTCTCATGAATTTTGATTTTTATTTATAAACTATATATCTACCTATACGTACAAATAATTTTTTTTTATTTTTTTTTATTTATTTGAGAGAGAGAGAGAGAGAGAGAGAGAGAGAGAGAGAGAGAGAGAGAGAGAGTGTGTGTGGGGTGTGTGTGTGTGTGGCCAGCTCAGCCCACCAGGGGGCGGGGCTGGCTGGCATGTGGTGCTGGGGGATTGAACCGGGGTCCCTGATGCTTTGCCAAGCTAGTTCCAAGTAGGTGCTTTAGACCACTGAGCCATCTCTCCAGCCCCCGTACAAATAATTTTAAGAGCAACAAAAATATAGATGAGAGAGACTCAGAGAGAGACAGAGAGAAAAAGATCTTTTATAAATGGGAAAGATATATAGAAATAGAAGGATCAGGGAAAAAGCAAACGAGAAGAGAAATAGAAATAATTAACATATAGTATGTACATGTATCTGCTCTCCACAAAAAAATGTAATCAATATTTACTGCAAACATACTAATATAAAAAATGGAAAATCTCATTTTCTTCTAATTGAAGAACAGAAAACCTTCAAAAAGAATGTTAAGTCTCCCCCAAAATTAAAATTATACTTGTGGTTAGCCAGAAGACAACACAAGTGGAAATGGAAGAAGTAAGAAGTCACACAATTCTGATAATTATTTTAGTTTGTATCAAACTAGAAAAGTTTCCCAAATGTGTCCCATAGCACAGTGGTGGCCCTTAAAATGTAAATGTGCAATGACAAAATTCTACATTTTTGGTAAGAGACATTTGAAAAAAAATGTGTTTGTCAAAATTAGGTAAATTGATTTATCATAATCCTCACAGCTTTTAATGTAGTGTCTATTGTGACTTTTGAGGTGGACAGAACTGTATCTAGTATGTGCTTAAGCAAATATTCTAAGGTTTAAATAGTAAGAGGCTCCCAGGCTTTAAAAACAAAACAAAACAAAACAGCAGATTCATTTCTTCAAAACAAAATGATTAGAAATAAAAAATACTTTTATTGAAATTAAAATAAGTATCAAATGTTTGATAACTGTTATTTTACTTTTAAAACAACCAAACCAAACTTACATTTGAAATTCTCCAGTTCTGGTTCCAGATTATCAGCAGTGCTTACATCTATTGCAGCATCTGCCAAATTTTTTTCTAATGCTGACTTAGCAAGGCTTGGGAGGAACCTGGCAGGGGTAGGAGGGTGGAGAGAAGTAGATGAAATGATAAAGGCTTCTGATTCTTAAATATTATTTCACACACACAACACACATGCCATACACTTTACTGATCAAAAGGAGTTAAGGAAGATCAGTCTAGATTTTGCAAAATCTAAAGCATACAAAAATTTTAGCTTAGAATCTATGGAAATCATGTTTAGGGGATCTCCTTTGATAACTAATTAAAGCTCACTTACAATTATCATTAATATGTAATTACCATTGCATATAAATTACCAATTATATGTAACATTTTGCAGAATAAGACTTAATTTACCTTCACAAATGGATTTAGTATGCCTCAGAAATCTTGTTTATTGAATAACTGGCTTATCAAAATTTCTAAGATAAAACAGCATTGTCGTCTGCTTTAAATCAGTAATTACAAATTTAAATCAGTGGACATGGATTAATGAGTTTTTCCTTATTTGTTAACACAAAAGATTGAATGAAAAATTATCCAGCTTCATTCTCTCTGCTATTAAAAAAATACATCTCCACATGTACTCTATAAATATGTTGTCAAAACAACAACCGGTGAGTGATAGAGGCATTCTTCAATCACAGAAAGACAGTCAGCATCCAGAGCTTAGAATATGAAAGTTTCCCACATTCGCAGATAAAGTTATAACTAGAATTTATTTATTCATTTATTTATACAGAGTTTACAGGGTGTCACTACACAAATCAGACTCCTAGTGATCCTCCTCTTTTCAGCTTCCCAAGCACTGGGATTACCGACCTGGGTCACCACACCCAGTCTCAGTTGCTATCTCAGCGCAGCCTGAGGGCGGGGCCAGCACAGCACACCGGGATCGAATTCTTATGCCTGAGTCTGCATAAACAGATGCTTTAATCCATTCATCTATCTGGCCAGCCCATAACTAGAATTTATAATCCCAAGTGAGTCCAGAAAATTGATCTTTAATCCACGATTATCTGCACTGTACTACTATAAACTAATCACTTTGTTTTGCTCCAAGCAAACATACTAAGAATATATCATTTCTCATATAGTTCTTACACAACTCCAAATCTCTGGTAATGGTTCCCACAGGCCTCAGTATAACCTAACAGTGGAGAGGCTGGAGTGGACCAGAAGCAAATAGATAGGCATGTAAAGCACCATCACATAATATTCCCCTCTATGTACCTGACACTATCCTTTACTTGCCTCATTTTAGTCCTAGACTTTGATATGGGAATTGTTGACCTTTCAACACAATTTTTACATCATTGCACGGAGGTTCAAAACCCATCTCTCAGGCCGGGGAAATAGCTCAGCGTATAAGTGCCTGCCTGGCACAAGATCATGACTTTGATCCCAAGTACAAAAAAAAAAAAAAAAAAAAAAAAAAAAAAAAAAAAAAAAAAAACTCTCAGATTCAATAGCTGTTTTGTGCCTTGTTTCTTGAGCCCTTATCCAGGTACCCTATCGAATCCTCTTCTCAGCACATTAGTAATATTAGGTTCTGCAGCCAGGTCTCTATTACTTCCCATCAGACCACCTTCACTAGCACTGATTACTAACAAGTTGAGACTGTTTGCTATTTGAAGATACCCCTGATATCTACAGAAGTCTGTCAACACATCCTTACAAAGGCCCTGCAATACACCACCTCTAGATTGCTCTGCAAAGCCTGTGGAGGATGGCAAATATGGAAGAAGGATGTTAACAGCCAGAGTGGAGAAAAAGACTGAGAGGCTCGGTGAGTGGGTAATGTGGCAGTCTTACATAGATTAATTTAGACTTGTGATTTTAATTCTTAAATTTATAAACAGTATCAGAATATGTAAGATGATTTATGATTTGTCCTATTTGGTTTTTTTTAGGGTTTTTTTTTGTTTGTTTGTTTTTTGTATTTTAGGGAAGGGTCTACAGAGTGTTCAGAGTCTCACTACTAGATTGGAATCATAGTGATCCACCTGTTTACAGCCTCCCAAGAGATAGGATTACAGGTGTGTGCCACCTCACCCAGTCTCAATTGCCCTCTCAGCACATCCAGGGTCTATAGAACCCCTGGCCTCTGTGTCTGCTTGAAGACACTTTAATTCACTGAGCTATTTGGCCAGCCCTGATTTGTCCTATTTGTAAAGGTAGTTTATTGTATTTGTGGGTCATTAAAGGCCCTTGAACGTGATTATTAAGATTTGCTAGAATTACAGTCAATTGGATGAACAGATAGCCTAAAGGTCTAGATTTTTAAAATGATACCCTTAAAAATTGAATCAGTTTTAAAAACCAAAAATAAATCTCTGGATAGCCAGTCTCTCCCACAAGCAAAATCATTTTTTGAGATAATAAAAAATTCACAAGAACATTAATTGTTCAACAGTGTATATGATTACTTTTTTCTGGCTTGTGACTTTTAAAATTAGTTAACAATTTAGTGGAAATGTTACAAAGATATTCACTTTTTATCACAAGGATATGTTTAACAGAATACTTGCCCCATCTCATTACCAAAGATAGTTCATTGTTACTTCTAGTTAAATCTTACAGGTCTGTCTAAAATTTTTCTGCTAAAAGGATCATCACTCTAAAACTTTTCAGCAGTGACTAAAAGTTTATGAAATGCAAATAACTGAATGGAGAAGAACTCTTACTATAGAGACCTCTACTCAGTTCTCCCATAAAGAATATATTTTGGAATGAAAAATACTTGAAAACTTCCTAAAATTCTGAATTTTCTTCTCTGTGGCCTCTTAGGTTTTCAAATATCTAGAAAATAAAGAAAATAAAGCACCAAGAGTTGATGGCCATGAGGATGAGGTACTTAAAAATCAATACTTGAGACAAATATGCTCCAATTTTAATTCAATTTGCAAAAACAAATATTTAAAAAATTAAAATAACAAGAAAATGAGCCAATATTTAATAAATATAAAATGTATTAAGTTTAGGGTAACATTCTTTTGTTTCTGTCTGCTTAACAGAATGCTCTTAATACAAATTACATTCATTTTCATAGTATAATTTTCTTTTTTTTATGGTATAATTTTCAACAAAATTTTATTTGTCTTGACTACTGAAATATGGAATGAGGTCACTTAAAAAAAAAACTTTATGTACCAATAATTTTTGGCTCCTTCCTGCCATTGTGCTATCTGCAGGAGAAGGTTGATTTAAAACAAGAGCAGGCTTTTAGCTGTAGCTTTGCTAAAGTCAACAGATGATGCCTGAACAAGATAGCCATCGTAGGATTCACTGCTACGTCCAAAAGAGGATAAGGTAGTAGGCAAACAGCTTCATTTGGTTTAGTTAATAAAACTGGAAAATTTAGCTACTTGATGCAGTGCAATATTTATAAAAACAACAATTAAGCATTTTAAATCAGTATAATATTTCAGTATTTCAGAAAATGATAGAGAATGTTTTATGAAACACTTTTATAAGTAGACTTTTTAAACTTTTTAAGTTTTTTAAAATTTTAAATCAGCTATAAAATTATAGCTGATTTTTTTAAAATTTCATATCCATGATCAGTAATGAAGTTGTTCATCTTTTCAAATATTTGTTGAATTATTCCCCCTTGGCATGAGTGATCACTTTTTCTTATTAATTCACAGTTCAAGAATATCAGTACGTTTTTAATGATGAATTGTGTTCGACATCTTTTGCTAATTTGTGGCTTCTAACTTAGAGTAGCTTATACCCTAAAGGGGCTTTCATGCCTTTTGGTCATATACTGGATTTACTTTTATATGTTACAGTGTCTTTTATCATAGATTTGAATTTTACTTTTATGTATGAGATAAAGTGGAAAATGTTGATCTTTTAACTATTTGTTGACAGGTTGATTAATTTTCACACTATTTATAGGCTACTTCTAACATGTACTAGTTTCCCACAGATATGTGGGTCTATTTGTGGGATGTAGTTTATTCCGATACTCTATTTGTCTTTCTTTGCATCAATTACACACAGTTATAATAAACACAGTTTTATAATGGGTCTTGATCTTGATAATCTTTCAGGCATAATGACACAAAGCTATAATCCCAGCACTTAGGAGGCTGAGGCAGGAAGATCATGTGAGTTCAAAGCCAGTGTGGCTACATAGTGAATTCAAGGCCTGAAGTACATAGTGAGATCATTTCCCAAAAAACGAGAAATTTCACTGTAATCTTGAGGGACTCTGACTGAATTATACCTAAACATCAATTTGAGGGAAAACAGTTTTTAATGAATCTTTCATACAATGTAAGCCTATCTTCTGTTTTATTATTTTTCTTTATTAACTGTTAATAAAGATTTATACTTAACTCCTCAACATATCATTTATTAAATTTATTCATAGGTACTGAGGTAAGGAATGCCATTAATCTAGATAAGTTACCTCACTGAATTCTCATTTGTTCTAAAGATTTATACCTATTTTTTATGTAAACAACTACATAATCCTGTGCAAAAGTACTGGCTAAACATTCAGAAGATGATATTCTTGTTTTGTTTCTAATTCTAAAGGAAATGTGCCAAGTTTTTTTGCCATAAGAATATTTGCTGTAACTTGAGAAAATAAAATTAAGTAAAATAAGTCAGACACACAAGGTTACATGGTTTCTCTTATAGGAGACATACAAAATACATATAAATATACAAATAAAGACTGAAAGAAGAAAGACAAATAAGAAGTAGAGAGGCTAAATTTGGTGGCACATGCCTGTAATCCCAGCATTTGGGAGGCTCAGGCAGGAGGACTGCTGTGAGTTTGAGGACAGCCTGAACTACATAATGGGAGATCAGTACATGTTAGAAGTAGCATTGTAAATAGTGTGAAAATGAGTCAACTTGTCAACAAACAGCTAAAAGATAAATCATAACGGTTACCTAGATATAATGAAATGTTGTTATCTAGATATAATGAAATGTTGTTAAATATTTCCCCAAATTAAATTCAATTTCCCTGGCTCAAAAGAAATAGTTCAAATACTTCCTCAAATTACATATTTGTCTCAAAAATATT